TGATGCGCTGAAGAGAAGTAGTACATTCAGGGATGGAACTAGATCAGAGAAGACTTAAATCGATGGTTTTAACATGAATTATATGTTCTATTGTTTGAATCGATAAGGTAATTGCTATCCAGTAACTATTATCAATAAAGGAAATAGAATCACATTGCACTTGATTCTAATAGTGCAAAACTAAATGTTTCACTCAGGTTGGAAGTGCAAAATACACGTTGTTTCTTGATATTAGATATCTGGAGTTCTGGATGGCTTTTTTTGAATTCCTGAAGCTTGTTTTTTTATTTCCCAAATCTTCAAACATGGAAAAATTAACAATCCCAATGGCAATATGTCCCTTAATTTCAGAGGTGCAGGGTTTCACAGCTAAGTCAGAGGGTAGGCAATTGCTAAGTGACCTGAGGTAGCTCCATAAAGGTATCTGTATTAGTTCACTATGAATGACATGGGAATTCTTATTGATTCCAATTGTGAGATGCATCTAGTAGAGCATGAGTGTCAAACTCGCCGCGTCACATTGCTGTCATGTGATGTTTTGCAATGTTTTTCCCATTTGTGGAGCTGGGGTGGGCGTGGCCTGCCTGTGACGCATCAAGCCCATGGGCTGCTAGTTTGACACCCCTGTAGTAGAGGAAATGGATGTTGAAAAGATTTAAACATCTTCTCTTTCGATTTCCCTGAGTGTCTCAGTTCTTTCAGCTTTCTCTGTATGGACAACTTAAAGGATCTGTTTCAATGTTATATGATTATACAGCATTGAAACAGATACTTTAAGTTGTCCAGTGCCCCTTGCAAACTAGTTTATCTTGGAATTCATTAGTCAGACCTTCCTAAAATTGATCTACTAAGGCCAAGTCATTTTAGCTATGATCCTTAGCATACAATTACATTTCCAGTATATATTCTTCCATGCTCTGCTCTTACCTTAGTGCATTTAGCAATCTCCTACTCCGGCACTAGCTTTTCCAGCAGAGTCATCAAAGGCAACTCTAAATCTCTATGTAAAATTGTTGCACAGTAGTTATCCATTGTGAAATCACTATTGTCTATGACAGCAACTGCCCACTTGGCAGCTGTTCAAAAGAACTAGAATAAAGGCCAATCAAGGACATTCCATGGGAAAGTCAGCTGGTCTCCCAAAAATCAGAACTTGCAGTGGCTTGAACTAATCTTGAGTTCCATTAAATTTGCCCAATAAAGATTGTGGAGAGTGATGGGCACAAAACTTTAACCATGTGATAGAACTAGAGAAGTGGGAGAGGATGTGGAAAACGAACATGAAACTAACAATTGCGATGGCATACAAGGAAAACCAGATGAAAATGTTTTATAGATGGCACCTTCCACCGTCCGGAATTGCGAAAATGTTCCCTACCAACTCCCCGAAATGTTGAAAGTGCAAGACTGGCTACGGAACATACTATCACCAATGGTGTACCTGTACGATGGCACAAAAATTCTGGAAGAAAATCAAAATTTGGATAGTAGAAATAATTCAGAACCCAATAGAGGGAAAACCGGAACAATTTCTGTTAGGAATCTCAATAGACAATTATACTAAAGAAATACAGTACCTTATATTGCATATATTGACTGCAGCACGTATTGTATACGCACAATATTGGAAGAAGGAAACACTACCAATGGAAGAGGATTTAATTAAAAAAATTCTAAAATGTGCAGAATTAGATAAATTAACTAAAGAAATTAAGGGGAAAGAAGAATCAAAGTATTATAAGGTTTGGAGTAGATGGTATGAATGGTTGAAACATAAGGAAATAAGTTAAATGAATGAAGAAAGGAGGGGGAAATGTGTATGATCTTTTGTTAGTAAAGAAGAAATGATATAAAGTAGAAAATGAACGTCAAATAAGTATATACTTAAATATTTGTAAATATTGATGTATAGAAAGAGCAGACCACTGTGTATAGCTGAAAGAAAAGTGATATTTTTCTTTTTTGTGTTACTTTTTGTTGTATGTATATGTTTGATTTTTAATGTGTTTTTAATGTGTTTAAAATAAAAAACTTTTTAAAAATTAAAAAAAAGAAGATTGTGGAGAGTGAAGCAATATGGGTTGATGATCAGAAACAACAGTAGATACAAGTAGTCCTCGATTTAACAGCTGTTCATTTAGTGATCCTTCGAAGTTACAATGCCACTGAAAAAAGGGATTTATGTCACACTTAAGACCATTGTACCATTCCCATGATCAAAATTCAGATGCTTGGCAACTGACTCATATTTACGATGGTTCCAGTGTCCCAGGGTCATGTGATCGCCTTTTGAGATCTTCTGACAAGAAAAGTCAATGGGAAAGCCAAATTCACTAACAACTATATTACTAATTTAACAACTGCAGTGATTACTTAATAACTGTGGCAAGAAAGATCATAAAATGGGCCAAAACTCACTTAACAAATGTCTTACTTAGCAACAGAAATTTTGGGCTCAATTGTGTCGTAAGTCCTAAGTTGAAGACTACCTGTACAACCTTGGTGGGTCCAGCTAGTTTCAACACATGGCATATTTGCAAAATTATCTGAATAATGACACTTTTCAAGCTGCTGATCTGGACATTCATCTGTTGCTATGCTGAAATAAGGTATTGGCAACCTGTTCGGCTGTGATCTCAGTATGCCAGTTGCCATGGCCTAGGTGAAGAACATGAAACTAGGTAAACTTCATTGTAAAGGGAGTAAAGTATTTTTGAAATTATTATTGGGTTCGGTAGAAACTTCCTTCTTTTTAAATTTATAGATTGTTATGTCTCCTATACATTTTATATCAATGCTAACAATATTGGCTGCTTCTCCTCACTCTATCAAGTTTCTGTTATACCTACTATATCTATATTCTTTTTTAAATAAAACCAATCACCTCTAATAAAAGCTTCAGTGAGAATAACTATAGCTTTTGCCTAAACATAAAATTGAAATAAACAGGTAATATAGTTATTGGGGCACAAAATCCCAATAAATATTTTTGTTGAATAACTCACATTATTATTTCATTATTTCTTTTTAGCACCAGGTTTTTCAAATGAAAGAGCATGTTCTCAAATTTTATTGGACTCTTTCCATGCTCACACCAATATATTGAACATGGCATCAGTGGATATGCTACCATACGTAAATTTTATGCTTCCTAAATTACCAATAAAATGTTTCCTCTTTATATAAAATTAAAGTATTTCTTCTTATTAGACTATTATGGCGGCACTTAAAATTTAGCATTATATGTTTCAAGCACTCTGCTTTATCACATAAGCACATGCAAATACAAGTGCAGATACCACAAACACTCAGAGAGAAGTGGAGATAAAGAAAAATATATATTTTTGTTCTGTTTTCCAAACTAGCTGATACATTTTCTTTGTTTCTTCAGATAAATCATAATTAAGACTTATCAGAATGCTTAATTCAAGCTTAATGACATACTAGTTAATTGAAAATAAAAACAAGTGATTGATTCCTTCCTTGCAATTTTCCACTGTAGACAAAATAGGAAAAGCAATGGTCCTAAGGAGTTTATCCTATATAGTTAAAACTCACTCTGTAGGGAGAAGTAACATTATGCTGGTCAGCTTTCAAATGTTAACCTATATAATCACTATTAAGTATATACAATACATGTATATACAGTTGAAGAAAAACTATCATTTATGACACACCTTATAATATCATGGTCAAAATTATTATTCGAAAATGAATACAACTCCATAACAGGGGTGTCCAACTCCCATCATCACAGCGTCGTCATGTGACATATCAGGACTTTTTTCCCCTTCACTAAACTGGGTGGGGGCAGGGCCAGCACATGAGGCATCTGGCTTGCAGGCCACAAGTTTGATACCCCTGCGCTAGGAGAGGCCTTCCTAGCAACCTGATCATTTAAAAAAAAAAAAAACCTAAATAATTTTGTCTATATTTAGAAATGCAGTTTTAAAGGTAAGCTCATCCATTTTAATATCATCTCGCATGACTCAAAGAGCAAGGTGAGAAACATTTCCCAAATTCTCCTAACATCCATTTAAACCACATTTTACAAAACTCTGCAGAATCTAGTTCCAATTTTGATAACAGAATGTAGGTGGAGAACCAAGCAAAACCCTTTTTTGTCTAAGAAGACAATCAGGTAAAAATTGGCTTGTAACTATTGTATACAAACATCTTTTGAATTTAGGAAAGGAACTTTTAACTCATTTAATATATGTTTATTCCTGTTTCGATTAGCAAGTGAACTTTTTTACATACAGTTAAGCAGTTGTAATATATATAAAAATTTCATTAAAAAGTGTAAAACACAATGACATAGAAGTAATGGTTCAACACTGTAGCTTGAATATTTGGCTTCTTGTAACTCAATGTAAGCATCATGATAGAGCTATATTCAGTTAGCTCTTTCTAATACCAGATGTGAGTGAAATTGTATTTATATTCAAGTTAATGCCTTAAATTTTAAAGAAATTACTTTCACAATAAAACAATAACCAGGCAGAAAAATAAATAACCCCAGTTAATTCTCTAGACAAAAATATATCATCAGAATACTACTCTTATAACAAAAAAGGTTACATTTCTTTCACTCAAAAAAGTACTACCTATTTAATAAACAGGAAAAAAAAACATAACAGGGCTATTTTCTTTCTCATAATCATGCAAAACAATCCATTTCAAAGCTATAATTCAACACAGAATTAAGCATACTTAAGTTAATTGTTTCAAGTTTTAAAGACATGAAATATCCAACCAATTTTACAAACTTATCTCAGAGTAAACCCCACTGAACTCAATAGGACTTATTCTGAGTAACTATGTACTGCATATTATTGTATCAGACCAGGATTAATGTTTCTCAACCTCAGCAGTTTTAAAATTAGACTAAGACCTAAATTATATAAATATGCATAACTCGTCTCATTTTCCCAGAACATTAGTTGTGCTTAGTTGTCCATGTTAAAATAAAATATAAATAGAATAAGAGTTTATTTCACCTTCACATGGTGTCTTTCTCATGCAGACCTCAGATTTCCATATTTGTATCCCTTTAAAGGATTTGATATGCAGGGAAAAAAGAAAGGATGGTAAACATTTCAATTCAGAGATCAGTTTGGCTGCTACATTCCATGTATTATCACTATGCAAACCCCATACCTTTCACTGATGTGTTGGGAGGTGGTCCTTCCATACGCAGGTTCCATGGAGGATCCCCTTGATTAGCAAAGTCCCTCATCTTCAAATAGCTAATTGTTAATCGGATGATAGATGCCTTGTCAAGCTGGCTGGTAATGGCAGCAGGGAGTGGCAACAATTTGGCCAACTCATAGAATTCAAAATTTTCTTTTCCTCTTCGAGAACGAGCAGCATCTCGGGATTTTTCCTTTCTCAAGGCTTGTAAACTGGGGGAAGAAAGAGAGCAAGATATTCATTAGTACTGTATTTTCTGACAGAGCCACTGTTCTTCAGAATTCCTACAAATATACCCCACAAGTACTATTTAAATATAAATACATAAGCTATAGCCATATATGTCCCAAAGGTGCTTTTTCAAAAGGCAACTAGACACCACCTATCTCCTTCCAGCACTTCCAAGAACCACTCATTTGCACTATTCAGGTGACCCCGAGGACACAGATAAAACTCCAAGTGGTTTCAACAACTCTCAGAAAGAGTGCTAATGACCAGATGATTGCAAGGAAGATAAACCCTTCCATTCTCCACCATTCAGTCAGAACTGAAGAAGCTTTCTGGATGAGAAGCGAAACGTCTTCAAGGAAAAACAAAGGAAGTCCAGGTTCCTTTTGAGAAAGCACTTTTGGGGCAACCATGACCTGGATGACTGAGAATCTCCATAGGGGTGTGTGTGTGTGTGTGTGTGTGTGTGTGTGTGATATAGATAGACAGATAGATAGATAGATAGATAGATAGATAGATAGATAGATAGATAGATAGATAGATAGAGATAGAGATAGATAGAGATATAGAGATAGATATAGAGATATAGATATAGATATATAAGATATATGAAAGTTTCATGTATAATGAGCATCATTAGTAATCCATTTATTCTTATATGAGCCGTGCTAGACTAAACCCCGCAGAGCAACTTTCTGAAGTGTCTACATAAAAAGATTCATGTAGCAATACAAAATATGCAGGATTGGACCAGGGCTTTACCAATTGGATCTGTAACCCATCCAGAAGAAATTTCAATTAATGTGGTATCCCAGATCTGTGACTGGACTAAATATTTTGCCCTGAATGGGCTGGAGTTTCACTGAAACAACAAATGCAAAGCTTGGAAATATTGCTGGACTATCATTACGGTTTCAGTAACCGAGATCACTTTTAGCAGTTTTGGCTGGCCTGTCAAGAATTACAATCTGAATGGTTCAACCCGAGTGGTTCATTCATACAGTCTAAGACTAGAGCAGCCAGACTATGTCATGAACACCAATTACGAACAGCACCTCACTGGGGTTAAAATGGTTGAAAACCCATTTCTATTCCAAAGCTTGTGTTCTATGACTGGAAACTGAAATGGTGTAGGGACATGAGAGGAGCAACCTTCTTGATCTCATGTCCTTGTTATGTAAGGCTGTCTACCAAAAGGCTGTGCTAGAGTCAATACTGGCTTTATGTTGGAAGTGGGAAACTGGATTTTCAGTCAATTTACGATCACAATTGAGCCCAAAATGTGTGTTGTTAAGTGAGAAATTCGTTAAGTGAGTTTTGCCCCATTTTAGGACTTTTCTTGCTGTGTTTGTAAATGTTGTTTAATTAGTAACACAGTTATGGAGTGAATCTGGTTTCCCCACTGACTTTGCTTGTCAGAATGTCACAAAAGGCGATCACATGACTCCAGGACACTGCAACCATCGTAAATGTGAGTCAACTGTCAAGCATCTGAATATAAATCACATGACCATAGAGATGCTATAACAGTCACAAGTGTGAAAAACAGTCATAAGTCACTTTTTTCAGTGATTGTTGTTAGTTAGTTCTATGTTTCTCACAGTAGCCAATGGAAGGCCCACAAGGAAGACTCTAAGCAACACTTATTAACTTCAGCAACTGGTGTTAGAAACCTATTGCCTCCATTACTGGAAGTAACATGTAATCATTATAATTAATAATTCCATAGTCCATGAATTAATGTCATCACCTTTTAAAATTCTTCCAAATAATAAAATAACAAATTACAAATGCTAAATATACTTTTTATGAAGAAAGATTTTCTTTATCTGTACTATATCATACATAGGTTTATATATTCTACCTGCTTTCTCTTAATACTTTTTTCCTTTCTGTGTTTCCCAGTTCTACAGTATCATTTTTGAGGTGTGGCAACCTGAACTATAAGCAATGTTCTTAATGTAGTTGCACAAGAGATTTTCATTGAGCTCTCTCATCATCCTGCCCAAATCCCATTTTAGGAGAATAGTCATGTTAGTGACATGGAATTGTGGCAAAGAATCATAACCTTTACTTTATGTCTTTTAATACAATTTGCTAGTCAGAAAAGGTACAAGATTTTTTCTGATTTTCTGGGAAGACCCCTTTCTGATTAATCATAACTAGCCCAGATCCCATATCAGTATATTTGAATTTAGAAATTTCCTGTGTTATGTCTGTCACTTTGTGATACTTTAAATTTGTTACCACTGAACTGTTATCATTTTAATTCAAGTTTAAACAGATTACATCATCATCTCTTTTAATAGTTCCTCTTGGACCGAGTCGTGCCTGTGCAGCCTCTGACCCGTCGCCGAGTTTACCTGGCTCCTTGGTTCTCCGAGGAGCTGAGGGAGATGAAGTGCCGGGAAAGACACCTAGAGAGCAGTTGGAGATCTAGTCACTCCGAATCTGACCGAACACTGGTAAGGTCTCATATTAAGACCTACCTAGTGGCGATAAAAGTGGCAAAATGTAACTATTTTTCCGCTCTTATCGCATCGGCAGATAACCGCCCGGCTGCCCTGTTTAGGGTGACCCGCTCCCTCCTCCATCTGGGAGCGCGGGAGGATCCCTTGCAGGGTCATGCTGAGGATTTTGTCCAGCATCTGCATGATAAAATCACTCAGATTCAGGAAGGCTTGGTCTCTGACTGGGTAGGTACAGACGGGATGATGGGTGCCAGTCTTGAGACTGCCATTTGGGAGGAGTTCGACCCTGTTGCTCCCGAGGACGTGGACAGGATACTGGGGCGGCTGAACGCGACCACATGTTTATTGGACCCGTGTCCCTCCTGGTTGGTGCTGGCCTCCCGGGAGGTTACGCAAGGCTGGCTCCAGGGAATTATCAACATTTCCTTGAGTGAGGGTGTCTTGCCATCCGCCTTGAAAGAGGCGGTGGTGAGGCCCCTCCTCAAGAAGCCTGCTCTGGATCCGACTGTTTTGGATAACTACCATCCGGTCTCCAACCTTCCCTTCTTGGCGAAGGTTGTTGAGAGTGTGGTGGCGCAACAGCTTCCTGGGTACCTGGATGAAGCTGTCTATCTGGATCTGCTCCAGTCCGGCTTCAGGCCTGGGCACAGCACGGAAACGGCATTGGTCGCATTGGTGGATGATCTCTGGAGGGCTCGGGATAGGGGTTGCTCTTCTATCCTGGTCCTGTTAGATCTCTCAGCGGCTTTTGATACCATCGACCATGGTATCCTGCTGTGCCGGTTGGAGGAGTTGGGAGTGGGGGGCACCATTTTGCAGTGGTTCTCCTCCTATCTCTCTGACCAGTTGCAGTCGGTGTTGGCAGGGGGGCAGAGGTTGACCCCGAGGCACCTTGTTTGTGGGGTGCCGCAGGGGTCGGTCCTCTCGCCCCTTCTGTTCAACATTTATGTGAAGCCGCTGGATGAGATCATCTGTGGCTTTGGGGTGGAGTTCCATCAGTATGCTGATGATACTCAGCTGTACATCTCCACCTCAGACCATCCCAATGATGCCCTTGAAGTGATGTCCCGGTGCCTGGAGCCGTGTGGATCTGGATGGGGAGTAGCAGGCTTCGACTCAACCCTTCCAAGACGGAGTGGCTGTGGCTTCTGGCGTCCCGATATAGCCAGCTGGTGCCATCGCTGGCTATTGGGGGTGAGTTATTGGCCCCCACGGACAGGGCTCGCAACTTGGGCACCCTCCTGGATGCACGGCTTTCTTTAGAAGAGCATATGACGGCCGTGGCCAGGGGGGCTTTTTATCAGGTTCGCCTGATTCGCCAGTTGCGTCCCTTTCTGGATCGGGACTCCTTACGCACAGTCACTCAGGCACTCGTCACTTCCCGCCTGAACTACTGCAATGCTCTCTACATGGGGCTCCCCTTGAGGAGCACCTGGAGGCTCCAACTGGTGCGGAATGCGGCCACGCAGATGATTATGGGAGCGAGGGGCGCTCCCATGTGACACCTCTCCTGCGTGAGTGGCATTGGCTTCCAGTGGTCTTCCAGGTGCGCTTCAAGGTGTTTGAAGTGCCTTTAAAGCGCTCCATGGCATAGGACCTGGGTATTTGCGGGACCGCCTTCTGCCGCCGATAGCCTCCCACTGACCAGTACGCTCCCACAGAGAGGGACTCCTCAGGGTGCCGTCAGCCAGGCAATGTCAGCTGGTGACCCCCAGGGGGAGGGCCTCCTCTGTGGCAGCTCCTGCCCTCTGGAACGATTTGCCCCCGGAGATACGTAGAATATCGGATCTCCGGGTCTTTCGCCGTGCCCTAAAAACTTTTCTTTTCCATCAAGCAGGGCTGGCGTGAACCCCCCCTTTTTTTTTTAGCTTTTTTAATTGACTATGGGTTTTAGTTTGAATATTTTAAATTTTGGGTCAAAGTCATATAATTCTTTTAAAAATTTTAAATTTTGTATTGGTATGTGTTTTAGTTCTGGCTGTGCACCGCCCTGAGTCCACTTGGAGAAGGGTGGGATATAAATTGAATAAAATAAATAATTGAATAAAATAATAAAACAGTCATCTGCACTACTTTAAGTAGGAAATATGTATAGCTTACTTGGTGCATGTTAGACTGGACTCTCATTTTATAGGTAGTTTAGTTTTAACCATGTCTGAAGGAAGAGCCATTGAATTTAACAGGTTTTATTCCCAAGTATTCCATAGCCTTTACATTTTCCCAGTCCAGTCTTCAGCAAGTTACAGTTATGCCAAAATGACAATGGCAACGTCATTGCATATGTGCCATGCTTACCTGCCTGCATCCTAACATCTGATGCAAACGAGTATGTCATGACATTTGCTCCCCTGCAAATGATTATGTTCCCATATATAAGCAAACCAATTTTAACTCAATTTCACCCTTTAGGAAACTCATTTTTTAAAAGCAGACTCTTGCATATCATTACAGCTGCTATGCTCGTTACAAGTGTTATGCTACAATTTTCGCATTACAACAATCGGGCTAACACT